TGGTACGTGGTATAATAAAAATGTGGTAGACCCACATTTATTTTTTGGGGGTAAAGGTCAGTTTACTGTCTGAATTTGAAAGAGCACTGTATTTTGAACGTAAATTAACTGCATCCAGCGAGATCGTTTATTAAGGCGAAAGCCTTAGATGCCTGATAAAACATAAAAATCGACCAGCCTCCCACGTCGGCGTCTCACGACGGCGGTGTCAATATGAGTGATCAAAAAAAAAGATGCTGTGATGAAGTAATGATGACATCCGTGTCACGTCACATGACATCATTTCTTGGTCCAAAGTTAGCCGTTCTTGGAGGCAGCGCAAAGCAAGGTTAAGTTCAAAACGATTACAATATCTCCGATCATGGAGGCATTGCAAAACCACGTTAGCTGCACAAAGCTTTCGGAGGGGAGCGACTTAGAAGAAAAAAAGATTGCTTTTGCTTTCGAGCCCGAAGAAGCCAATGCATTAAGGTATGTAGTACATACAGACTGGCGCAAAGCATACCGTGACGGTGTGCCGCCTGTCGGCGCTTGCGCTACCCAAGCAACGACACGCTGTCTACATTAGATCACTATATTCCACGTTGCCAGCGCTAAAGTCGTATGACATGTGCGGAAATCTCTTGAGGAGCCTGCACCCGCCGGCTCGCAGCCAGCTGGTGTCTTCTCCCTGATAGACCGAAAGAGCTTCCGAGGAAGAGGACAGGGTCCAGTTGCTACTACGACCCCCTTTGAGGTGGAATAGGCGAAAACTCAGGCGCTCATTGGTGGTTTGCTTGCACCACAGCCGACGGCAGGGGCCAAAATGGGTCAGGGAGTGATTCGGTCGGTGGTAAAGATACGTTAACGCGGCACGGGAGAGAGAAAAGGGGCGGCTTGCGAGGGGTCAGAGCCGTGTGGTAAAGTGCCGCGCCGCTAGTATGTTCGTTACCCCCGAGATTTTTTCAAGCGTGGAAAACTTAGCTTTGTTGTATACGAGAGGTGTAGTAGAAGTAGGCTGGTTCTTTTTTCCAAGGCATTAGTATAAATTTAACACAAAAATAGCGAATCTTTATTAATATTAATTATTGTACTTCTACGCTCTAAGCTACGAAGTAATTATGAGACTACACCATAGTGTATGACTCCGGGTTATTTTTGCCTACCTAGAGTTCTTAACGGGAACCTAAATCGAAGTATACGAATGTTTAAGAATTTCGCCCACATAGAAATAATAGGAAGTTCATGTGCCTAATAGTGGCGTCAATTGATATCATCAAACGGGCGTCGATAAGTGCTGAGCTGTATATTCAAGTAGTGAGAAGTGTACTAGGCATCTCAGAAAAGTTACTGAAAAACCTCAAAATAAATGAAACGCACATTTGCTCTATAGCTACCTTCATTAGTTAATCTGTTTTGGCTCATGACTATGGGCATCAACTATGACTGTAATTGTGGCAGTTAAATAGTGAGCATTCTAATTAAAGGAGACGGTCAACATAGGCATGAGCAGGGTTCTCTAATGAGAGCCAAGATTCACTGCAGCCCTCATCTCTCCCGCCTTCTTCCTTTCCTGTTTTGTATCGAGTCATCTGATGATGAAGTAGTTGATAAAAAATGAAAATGGTGCGATCCAGAGCTTCTGACAACGGTGTGCCTTTAGTACCCGGCATTCTTGTGGTGACGGTGAGATATACGTGCACTCTAAAAAGTTTTCCGGGGGCACCGTGCAGTTACCTCAAAAAGGGCTCTCTCCTCACAAATTAGCGCAAAAGATTGTACACGGCGTGGCAAAGAGGGACACTTTTCTCTTTGTGGAGTAAACCACCTGTTTTTTGGAGTAACTGAGGAATACTCGTGCCGTGTGCAAACGAAGCATAGGTGCCTACACAAGCCTACTTGTTTTCAGTAGTTGCCGTAGCGTGGTATGGTGTAGTGGTTAGTGTACACGCATGCATGCTGACTGAGTGGTCATGGGGTTGAAACGCGGATGTTTGCTTCAAACTTTCCAAAGTTTATTTTTAAATGTGGTGATTGCACATCGATTGTACATTTGATCAAATAGATGTGCGCACTTCTAAAGGCTGGTTCAGTCGAAGAAAACCTTATTTTTCTTTTGCTCAAAACATCTTCTGCTGCTTTGAGGAGTAACCGCGAGAACGTGGTTACTCCTTTGCCGTTACTCCCAAAATGATACAATGGGTGTGGCAGGTTAGTTACTCCTCTAAAGGACCAACCTCAATATCCGCGTTCCTCCTTTACTTCTGAGAGTGTAACTACTTCTCCGAATGCAATATCTATTCGGGGAACGTTGCTGTTTTGTGATTTACGAGAAGTCACCACTGATAATTTTTGCGGAGGAATTAATTTCAACCAAATTCAGCGGTGAACGGCAAACCGGAATGCCGACGAACGCAACTGCCATATTCTTGCAGTCACCCACTTCGACGATCCTGTTTAGGACAACTATTGCAAAAGATTTAATACTACGGCAACTTACAAGCAGCACCTGACTTAACAAAAAGGCCAATCTGTATTCGTTAACCTATGTGTTATGTTACATTTTATCATTCGTGAACCTTATGTGCTGTCTTGGCAGGAGCAACCCTCACACCCTATAGAAATGAAGTAGTTGACATTAGATCGACAAAGCGTGCTCATTCTGTGTATCGCAGTTGCACAATAATAATTCTACTGGCCCATTCGGGGCTGCTAAAGTGACAGTCTGCGCGCTGTATATCTGTACTTCGCGTATACGTAATCACTCAGCATGCAGGTCTACGTAACCATGGCTACAGCCAATCGGAATAAAAAGTCTTTTGCACACTTCATCGGGCCCTAAACGGCCCTCCTACTTTGTTGTGTCGCACTTAACTCCCTGTCTTCACCAGAAGCCTCGCTGACTAGTGACGCTGTCGCACGACTTCGTTCTGCGCACACTTTACTCGGACGGCGCGATGACAGGCTTCCTCCCCCAGAACTACACTCGCTGCGCGTGTGTGTGGACGGACAACAAGAAGCGGTCTTGCCGAATCTCGTCCACCGAGACTACGGCAGAACAAAAGGCGCCTGCAAAAGCGCGGAAAGGAAAAGCGCACGATAAGTGCAGCGAGGCAGTGGAGTGTCAGCTCGAGCTCCGTTATCGGACGGAAATAAATGGCCTTTGGGCTCAACCTTGGGACAGAGGCGTTCAGGACGAGGGTGCACCACCGCTCTTGCATCAATGAAAGCAGGGCCCACCGCTAGTGCGCCAGTGTACATCCAATTTATGGAATTCATTAGGGCCGACGAAAGGCTCTGGACGCAAGCGGGGAGCCCAAGAAATGGGAAAGCAGTAAACCTTGGCCCGCATGTTCGCCGTGCTACACCGGTAGAGGTGCACGGGAAAGGGATGTCCATGACTTTGGCATGCTCCACTTTCCCGTTGACCGTCAAGGCAAGAACGGCAAAACGTAAATGTATAGGACAACAACAAAAAAGTCCCAGATGGCCAAATTTGCCGGCACTGGGGACCCGGGCCCACTCCACTGCGCCGAAGAGGTGAGGTGTGGTGTAACCGCTTGACGGTGGAGAGCTCATTCAGGGAATGCCCCCGGAGCTTTGGCAAGGATTCTGTTCGATGCCTGTGGGAGCGATTACCGTCAAGATCAGACAACATACACCAGTGCTAACACCGTTTTTTTTCTCTCTGTTTCTCCAGGCGTCTCATATGACCGGTCACGCGGCCAAGGAGATAGTATAGTCTGACGTTTGTCAAGTGCTATCGCGGATGTGAAGCAAGGGTGCAGTGTTTTAAAGTGCCACAGAGAACTAGGAGCATTGGTATTCCTAAACATTTCATCTCACCCTTTAGTGTCTCTTTTTTTCATCGGTATTCAGCGGAAAATGAGAAGAATGAACAAAAATAACTTCAATGGTATGTGTACTCTACTCCTCACTGTTATTAGATAAACCTGTATGCTTTGTAACTTTCAGCGGAACACAAAGGCCCTGTTCCAGGTGTGCGTTTCTTCTTGTTTCTTTAAATTTAGGCTTTTTATCCGAACAGTTAACCACCAATTTAAGCCTTTTTTTTCTGTTACCTCGTTTTCTCAACCTGTAAACCTTTTACAGGTGTACCAAAAGTGATAGTGAAGTCACCTACCTTAAACGTTCAGTTTTCTTCAGACGCAGGATATGTCGCAGTGCTAAGCCATGTCACGGCCAACGTAGACAAATGTATATATGCACGCCTTTGCGCACACTGCGTGCCGAAGACAGCTTTTTACATACGCCACAATTTATTTTCGGCAATGCTTCAGAGAAGCCAGCAAGCCTGCCATGAGCTTCCTTGAAGTAGCGCTGTCTTCATACTAGAAATAATGACTGTAACTATTGGATATGACCCATTCACCGGCTCGTTTCCATGGCTCATGACAATTCGATGAAGGCGCATGGTTTTGAAGTTCTGTAATGATGACGAAGAAAATATCGAAGAGCCTATATCTGTTGGAGAATAAAAGTACATGTGAAACATTCATGTTCAGTGTTATATATGCATTTGCTCAAGCAGACGTAGAAAATTTGACGGGCGATAGAGCTCCCTCTTATTAGACGCCATATCGCGAGCGGCAAAAGCAAGTCGTTAGAAGTGGCGTAGCTTAATATAAACAGTACGTTGCCATGTTCACGTACACTTTCCCAATCATTTGCTTCTAAATAATACTTTTAACACTGAATACATTGAAAACCATCATATCGCTTCCACATAGCAACAATACTGCGAAGCATAGATAGTCTGGCAAATTAGATTCACTTCTTTTTTTTTCACATCCCTCATAAGGTAGTTCACCTGTCTTGTGTCATGTGTATGACTGCACAAAGCGTGGTCTGCGTCCGCTCAGATGTATGTGGCGGCAGCCAACACTCCTTTCTGCTATGGAGCCGCAGCCGAAGCCCACGGATCAATCCGTGGCCCAGCCGGGGGGGGGGGGGGGGGTGCCGTGTTCGCCTCGCTAAGACAAGCCCCATCGATCGCGACGATGCGGTGTGACGTCATCCGCGCAGCGCGCTTGCGCCACGCCGAGGTCCGACTGCGGTTCACGTGGGCAGACCAGAGGATCGCCGGCGGAGGCCATGTGCGACTGGCGAGCCGCCGGCGAGCCGGAGCGAGCCCGCCGATAGCGCGGACCACGAGGAAATGCCGGAAACGCAGCAGCGCGTGCCGGCTTCCCTCGGCCGATCTGGGTCACCCGAGGGACCAGGCGGCTTTCGCTCTCAACGCCGGCGGGTCGGCAGCGACAGTCGACAGCTGCTGCGCTCGGGACTCGTCGGCGCGCCGTGACCCGGGACGGACGATGTTCACCAGCAACACGGACGGCACAGCCGAGGTGGCCGAGCCCTCACCCGCCGAGTTGTACCCGCCGGAGCCGGCGGCCGACACGGCGCTCCTGGACGACAACACGCTGGACGATGCGGAGCCCGAGAAGCCACCCCCGGATCCCGGCGTGCCGGACGGCCCCGTTGTCCGACTCAGGCAGCCGTGCGCGGCCAGCCCGGCCCGGACTGGCGAGCCGCTGCTCGACGTCAACGGACGGCGGCCCGACGCCCACCGCAAGTTCCTGGTCGAGGTGCGGCTCGACGAGGAGCCCAAGAAGACGCTCACTCACTGGGACGTGTGTCACTTTAGTGCGCTTCCCAAGTGGCTGCAAGACAACGACTACCTGATCAACGGCCACAGGCCCCCGCTTCCGTCGTTCCGCGCCTGTGCCCTGTCAGTGTTCCGCGTGCACACCGAGACTGGCAACATCTGGTCTCACTTGCTCGGCTCTCTGGCGTTCGCTACGACGGGCGCACTCTTCCTGTGGCGGCACAACCTGCCGCTCGCGGAGCAGGCCGTGTTCGGAGCTTTCTTTTTCTGCGTGTTCCTCTGCTTCTTCACTTCCACGCTGTACCACACCATGCACTGCCACTCAGAGCACATTGGCAAATTCTTCAGCCGACTCGACTACTGTGGCATCGTGAGCATCGTGGCCGGGTGTTTCACGCCTTGGATCCACTTCCTCTTTTGGTGCGAGCCACGAACCAAGCTATTTTACCTTCTGCTGGGCTACGCTCTGTGCGTGGTCACCATCAACCTGACCATGTGGGAGAAGTTTGGCCGGCCACACTTTCGCCTGCTCCGCGCTTCAGTCTTCACAGGCCTGGCCATCAGCTGTTCGCTACTCCCCGGCGTGCACTTCGTGGCAGTGCATGGCCTTCACCTGGCCTTCTTTGAGCTCGCGTACGGCTGGCTTCTGGCCATGTCGCTGGTGGCACTAATCGGCGTGGCGCTGTACGCCCTACGAGTGCCCGAGCGCTACTTCCCGGGTCGCTGCGACATCCTCTTCCATAGCCACCAGTTCTTCCACCTGGCCGTCATCGTGGGCGCATACATCCACCTGCGCTGCCTGTGCGTCATGGCGCTCTACCGGCACTCGCCCGTCGGGGCCCAGTGCCGTGCCTGACCATATCCCACAAGCAATAGCGAGCTTCTGTGATACCGGGACGATGATGCCTCACACACGTGCCGGAGGGCCTTCCCTACAGAGCGCCACTAGGACAGACAGAGGGACTATTTTGCATACTTTTATATTCCCCGCTGCCACCGGCCCACCCTACTGTGCGTAGATGGTGCATCCTCGCCGTTCGCCGAGTTCAGTTTCGCACGCCTTTGCTCTCTCACCTTGCGCAGTTTCGTACGGTAAGACCTGTCGCTCCCACCGCTTATGCATCCGCCGGTACACTCGGCTGGGGCCCCCTTCTTCGTTCAGCGTCCCTCGAGACCCTGAGCGCCGAAGGCCTCCGGCAGGGAGCCATGGCGTTGGAGCTTTTGAATGCAAATCTACCAATGTGCCCCTACACAAAATATTTTTTTTTGCTATCGAAAACCACAGTGCCGTGAAGATGACTTGGGTTACTGTGTCTCTTGCTGGGCATATTGAGTGCCCCTATTGTCGCGTTCTGTACTATATAGTTTGCTCCCGGCAACTCAAAGCATTTCTACTACCGCGAGTAGATTCCAAACTTTCCTGAGGGACAAAAAAAAGTGAGAGCGTAGAACAGACGTAGGTTTTAGCTAAAATTCTAGAGGCCGCATTTCCAATCCCACATAAACTGGCAGTCACATCTTCAAGCACAGACGTCGGGCATCTCAGGCCAGTCCTCGAGTTGATTTTCAACCAGCGACTTTACAGTATGCGCAACAAAGGTGACGACAGGTATGCGTGTCCTCACTGGCGTCCCCTCGGTTGCGCAGATTGCTTACGCTGGACAGAATTCGCACCATTGCTTGCACAATCTGCCACTTGCCCTGTTTTATGCAAAATGACTGCGTTCGAAGGGTACAGACTGCGCAAACTTCAACAGCTATTCCTTAGCCGCTTATTGCGCTTTGTCGATAGCGAAACTCTTGAACCGCAACTTTCTCCTTCCCGGTCCTCTCTCAGCAACACTTCACATCAGCCCTCTAGCAATTTTACTGCCCGCTCGGGCGCTTGTACAGTTAGCGTTCCGACTGCCTATGTACAGTACAAAATGTTATATATACTTCAGATTTTCATTTTATCCCGTAACGGGCCGTGATTGAGAGAAAGTGACTGCATGTATGCTGACCAAGCGCATTCGAAACTGCAACTTTCTAAATGAAAAAGAAAAGTAGTATGTCGCCTTTGAATGACTGCGCAAACAAAATATTTAGCAGTATTTTGAACCTCGCCTTTCCTCTATATCACTCTCTAGCGATTTCCCACTATAAGCCCATATCCAGAGAAAGGCCTGGGGCAGCTCATTTGTCGACTTGCGGCTCTGAATGCAGCAGAGTACGCTAACACGCTCCCTCAGTGCTACTCGCTGCGAAAAGGCAACCTTTTTTTCCCTAAAGGGACGACCCGAAACGCGCGCAGAAGACAGATAGTTCTACAATGTGGGGTAGCGTGTCCTTCGTCTAGGTCTTTCACCTCCTATTTTTTATCAAAACAACGAAGGTGAGATATCGATATATGTCCGTCTATGGCGAGCATAACATCTTGCCGTCAGGTTACGCATATAGGCATAGATTCTCGCCAAGCCAGGAACCACATGGCGTCGCTTATTCCACACCGTAGCCGTAGTGATCTCTTGCAATTATTCCTCATAGAGTAATGGTGCCTCTTGGTTTGTCAATGGTGCGCTGAGCGCGCTGTCCGAACGAATACTTTTTCAAAGATGACGCGCAGCAATATAGCCGCTGAAAAAGTGAAAAAAAAAGTTATTGTAGTAAAGAAAAGCGAAAAGTATTCTAGATATTCGCTTTTCGGTACACTATCCTTGAAGGCATCCAGTCCACTAATGCAAGAACCACAATAAAAATGCAATATAGACAACAATAAAGGTGCTTGACGCGTGTTGTGCAACGTTTGTACCCCGAGGGTTATGGCGGTGCGTTGCGTTATCGAGTTATAAGGGCTACACTCTACGACCACGCTTCAATTCGCGCTCCACGCCCTTCTCTTTCAATCAAGGAGCCTCACGTAGTGGTTCGGCCTACCGGCACTAAGTGATGGCTCATTTGTACATAGTTTAGCCTATGGCATGACTATCCGCCTATTTGTTATTTTTTTCTTCATGCGTTTTGTTAGTTTTTGTTGGTGTTTGGGCGTGTAAAAAGTCTGGCGTGCACTCATGCAAAACACAGGCCAGTGGCTTGCTCGTACTACTGAATAAGCTCGTACTCTTGAAAAACGGACGAAAAGAAAAGGCGTACACAGCTCTGTCTTAAATTGCCTACGTTCGCAAATGTATGCCGCTTTAGATGCGAAATTTGTCTTCCCAAAGTTTAACGCACTCGGAGTCGAAGTTTACTGCACCTCTGACCATAGGGCAGTGATGTTCTTTTGATCGCAGCACATTGGGGGAGCAACTGAGTTTCGACCTGTGCAGTATACAAGTAGAGCGACATAGCGGGAGCTGAGCATGGTACAATGGGGGTGCCTTTCGTTCGAGCGTCGGCGCCAGAGGTCACCGCGTCGTTGCACTCTCTTCTCACATTCTCTAGTCAGGCATGAGCCATGTGCATGGATCTAAAGACCCCAATCTTCGTGAGGATTTTGGCGAGTATCTGCGCGCTATAGTGTTCGCAGGAGGTAAAGCATGATGGCAAGCGCCATCTCACCTTGGCCGGCATGTGCAATGCTGATAACAATTCACATCGTTAGCATTGTTGCAAACTTCTACTTTTCTTGCCTCCGTTAGATGCACCAGTGCAGGAACAATATGGGGATTATCCTCGAGGGCTGTGCACAAATTTTGAACATGATCAGGCTAAGTGCAAGCTCTCCGCCATTGCACCGCCATCACATCCATTTGGCACGCATTTTAAGAAAATGTGACTTGTTCTTTCAGTGCCACGATGCCTCTTCTGTGTCTTAAAAAGAGTGTGTCACGTTTTGCTTTACTCGACCTCTTTGCGGACGCTGCTTCATTTGGCGCAGCACATCGAAATATTCTTAAGCTATAACGCCAAACGACACAAAGTGCTGCGATAAAATCGTAGCCGAAACAAATGTACCAAATAAATAATTGGCTACAATCCATAGCGCTGCAGGAAGGAATAGATAGGTGCTGTCTCTCGAGGTCCTTTGAATAGCCGCTGGCCATCTGTTACCAGGGGCTGCAGACGACACTGCTAGAAGTGAATATTTGTTGCAACATTTTTCTGCATCTATCAGAGTACCGCTTGCCTTTATTTGCTTTGTAGCCGCAATACAGAGTCAACTTAAAGGCCTTAACTCCAGAGATATTATCTCGGTGCCACTTCCGAAACGTTTTTAGGTATAGTTCTTACAACACAGTTTGCATGTCCAGTCGTCCGAAATTTTTCGAGCTCCCGCAATACACCGCCAAGAAAAAAAAGTCGGTTGACCCCCATAGAAGGGTATGTGTGTAGCGAGATCCGCTTTTTTTTTTACATTCAGTTTCTTTTGACAGAGCATGCATGGCCATGCCCTCTTTATGCCGTTCATAGTGCGCGAGCAATAATTTGGAGTTTTTGTTGTCTCTGCCTAGGGCAGATATTTAACTTAAAAACACCAATTATCGAATTGCTCCACAGAGCACGACGACCGTGGTAGTCGTAGACCAAGGCGGGAGCTAGCGCCTTTACTCTCTCTCGTTATCTCTTCCTGCACACGGCTGCGAGTGCTGGTAGTCTACTTCGAAATGTTGTCACGTTGCGATGCACACTTGGACCTTTTGAACTCCTCGCTCAGCAGCTTTCAAGGTGTTCCTACATCCAGAAAATTGTAAGAACAACCCATATGACTTGAATCACGAAAATGATTTGTTCACCTGGTCACGAATCAGCGTTGGAGCAGGGCATCGAATAATTAAATAGCGTGTATCAAGTTCATTCTGCGGAATATCGCGTGGGGAAGCGGCTTGATCAAACGGAAACGTTTGCTAATAAGAATTTTAGAAAAGAATACATCAAAACATGTTTCCTTGTTGCTATCGGACAGGTAACTAATTACCTCGTTATTATTACTTGTACAGTGATCGCTTCAGTTCCAACCGAGTCATTTGGTTCAGGTTACTTTATGTATTATATGGAAGCACTTGTGCGTACGTGCACATTCATGCTCGGTTTGTGTTTTTCAGAGGCGAAAAGAGATATTATTTTAAGCGAAATAAAATCACATGCAACATCGAGCGCGTGAAAATACATCATACATTATGATCGATCAGCTTGGGTTATCATGCGTTGTTGTTAATCCTAGGTAGGTGTTCCACTTTTTTGGATGTAAAGAATGTACAGGGCGTCTGTTAGTCCATTGAAATCACATGAGCGCCCATGATTGATTGTGTTTGGAGAGAAAGTGAGCATGGAGAGCCGCACTGGCCTCGTGTTTTACGCACGAAGATTGTCGCGCACAGCCTGTGCCCCGGCGACACCGCCACGTTCTCTTTCGACACGTAGACGTTCGAAGTGTCACACAAACTTTGAAGTCCAATGCATCGTCATGAAAGACCAATAAAGCGAATTAAAAAGGAGAAAAAAGAAAAGAAAACAGTGCAGAACAGACTCTGTATTTGTCTTTTCGTGTGGGTATTATAATTTCATACCACCTTTCCAGCTGGCCAAATGAAAGTCGGAAAATCACCATTACTTGACATGCGCACACCACACACTTGCACACACACACACACACACAAACGCAGACATACACACATACACACACGCGCGCGCACAAGGACGCGTGCCCATGGACACAGAGGAAACAGGGAGGGAGCAGCAAACCATATTGGTGCGGATGAGAGGCAACCAAGCAAGTTTCATAGCATGGCCTTTAGAGTGATATATATATATAATATATATATATATATATATATATATATATATATATATATATATATATATATATATATATATATATATATATATATATACATATATATATATCGATTCGCTTTTACCGTTCAAATATAGGTTGCCAACGTGTTACATTACTGCATGCGATACTTCCTCAAAGGTGTATACTGTTCACTGCAGATGCCACTCCCATTGTGGCTTAGCTTACACGTCGTTAACAACATCAATAAACTGACCCACGACGACTGCTCTGCCATTTTTTTAGGAAAGTCGAAAGTGTTTTTCCCATACCCCCCCCCCCCCCCCCCCCCCCCCCCCGTTTATTTTTATTTCCTCCCGCGATCGGCTCACAGGTTCTTCTGACGTCTCCCGAGAGACCTTCCTTCCAGGCTGAAGAATCGTGGGGCAAGTGCCGTTCGCGCATACCAACGACGGAAAGCAGCACGGCGTCTCTTCAATGGCACGCTGGTGAAGATTCTGTGAAGCCGTTCCCGCTTTGCCGGATGATTCGAGAGGATGCTGTGACGTGAGTCGCTGACGTAGGTGTGCAGCTACGAGGAGGT